GTGCGGCGGCGGAGCTCGGCTTCTGGGCGCGCGCGTGGGTTTGGGGGCGGGGGGGGGGGGGGGGGCTGCTTTGGGGGGGGGGTTAAAGCCTTTCGCTGCCCTGCTGTACTGTCTTGGGGCCACCCCTGTGCAGCGTCGGAGCGGAGCGTCCTTGAGGCTAGTAAGTATGCGTTGAGACACATGAGAGAGGCGATCTCGCCGGCAAAAAAATGAAAAGTCGCGGAATTATTTTTCAAAGTGTTAGTGCCAGTGCGCGCCAGTCCCGTGCCTACTCGAGTAAGCAAATAAAAATTCTTTCGCCCAACAGCGCTTCTCGTGGACGGCGGCGCGACGTGCGCGTCACCAGCAGAGAGTTCACCCTGCTGCGCGCAGTTCAGTGTTCACCCGCAGTTCCTGCTCCTCCGTCCCTCCTGCGTGACATGCTCTTCGACACCACATACCGCACATTCACCTACGACGCCGCTGTAGTGTGCTCACAGCTGTGCCGTCGATCGCTCTCCAATGCTGGGCCACGCGGCAGGAGGTTGATGGTTGTATCAAGCCTCTCCACAGCCACATCTCCTGAAGCGTTTTGGATTGCAATGCAACTGAGGACAACTTCTCCGCAAAGAGAGCAAAAAGGCAATGTAAGCCCATGTCGTACTCGTCCCGCAACTGCTCTTAGGCACATTCTGTGCCGAGCCCGAGGCAAGGATGGGCGCGGACCACACCTTGATTGAAAAGCTTATCTGGTGCCAGTTGTTCACAAAATCCCCTCCTAAACCCTGATATTACTCCATCTAGCTGTTACGTACAAAAGCGTATTGTCAGATATCTAGCAGTTTCACCGCCGGTCCGATATCTGGCGTCGTCGGAGGGGTTGGGGGTCGTGCACCGCCGAGATTGCGAACTCAGCACTCGTTGCCGGCGGCCTCAACTCGCATTTTTGCGTTCAATCTGGCGCGGGCCCTCGCGATGCTGGCCATAGCGATCCTCTCCCTCGCGCACGCGGCACCGACACCGGCGAGCGGCTCGCTTACGGCATTGGCGAGCGGCTCGCTTACGGCAGCGCTCTCAGAGAGCCTGATCGAGCTCCACAGCGCGCATCACCGCCATCACTCGCCACCGCCGCCGCACCACAAGCACTCGCCTCCGCCGCCGTCCCACAAGGCCCACCACCTGCCACCGTCTCCGACGCCTCCTTCGCCCACGCCTCCTTCGCCTCCGTCGGCATCGCCGCCGTCGCCGCCGTCGCCGTCGCCGCCGTCGCCAGGCGAGTGGGGCCCCTGGTGGGATCCTGCTCCGGACCCGGAGCCCGAGCCGGCGTCGGGCGAGGCTTCGGAAGAGACGACGGCTGAGACGGCGGCGGTTGAGAGTGAGCCAATCGCCCTGCAGCAAGCGCCTCGCCCAGCCTCGCACTCCCTGCCAAGTCTGAGTCTCCTGATCGCGGGCGTCGTTCTGATCGGCATAGTTGTTGTGGCTCCGGCATCATTCGCGCTAGGGCTGCTCGCCATCGACCGGCGGGAGCGCCGTGGACACCGCGCGCTGGTCCAGGCGGCGGCGAGGGAGGAAGCAGTCTACGTCGCAATCTAGCTCGGCCCCGCCTTTCGTCCCTCCAGCATGACGTCGCGTACCATGTCACTGCGAGTGTGGCAGGAGAGGAGAGAGGACCACGGGGGCGAGATAGCACGCGTGGGGCAGTCTCTCGCTCTGTGGTGTCCGTCTCTCGCTCTCTCTGACCTTTGAGGTGTCGGCCCTCTTCCGGCTTTTATTTTCTGGAAAACGGCGTAGGCGGAGCGGCGGGCCCTTCGTTACAGAGACAACAAAGACATTTCACCCCTCGGGGTTGTTGCAGACAGAAAAACAAATTTGGCGCGCGTGCGCGCAAGGTCTGCTAGTTTTTCTGAAAACGGCGCTCGGAGCTTGGGGGTA